CAAAATTTATATACAAAGTTTATATACATAAAGATAACAAAAAAGGCAAGAAGAAAACAAAAAAAGGACAAAAAACTATTCCAAAGTCAAATCTGTACCAACACTTTGGACTTCCTGTCTATCCCATTGTATATTCCTTTTTAACAATTGAATGTACTCTTATTATTGTATATTTCTTCACATTTTGTCTAATACATTCCTATATCAATATGTACCCTTGGTCTTATTTCTCAACTCAGTCTCTCTCCAACGTCAATCAAATGCTATCATAGATAGCGAACTTTGGTGGTGTAGTGGTTAAGAGCGGTTGACTCGTAATCTGGTGAACCGGGTTCGTGTCCCTGCTCCTCCACATGCAGCTGCTGGGTGACCTTGGGCTAGTCACACTTCTCTGAAGTCTCTCAGCCCCATTCACCTCACAGAGTGTTTGTTGTGGGGGAGGAAGGGAAAGGAGAATGTTAGCCGCTTTGAGACTCCTTCGGGTAGTGATAAAGCGGGATACCAAATCCAAATCCAAACCTTTACTGTATTTTTGAACATATATCTTATATCTATCCCACTTTTCCATTGGCCCAGCCCCAAATATTTTATTCAAGTTGGCAGCCTTGGTGGAGGGGGCTTCCACTTCATGGCTCAGCCACCAAAATGACTTAAGTCTCTCCTAGCTTTGGAGAGATCTTGAAATTTGATTTTAAATACATTTTGGATTATATCGAGGACTGTGGGGAGTGGGACTGTGGGGAATGGGCGAGCTGGATGAAGGGTGATGGAGACAATTTTGGGTTGGAATCCCCCAGAGACCTACTCCTCAATGAGAAAGGAAAGAAACTAAGACAGAGACCAACAAAAGACAAGGAAAAGGGCAAGCACAAACAAGATGAAGAAGAATTACAGGAGGGACATGGAAGAGACTTAAGGGCCTCGGACATAAGGCTTCCAGGTTGATGGACTAGACGGAATGGACAGTAAGGACTGACACGACCCGAGACCAGGAAGAAGAGACGCTGGATGATGATTGAAAGAGAATTTATAATGGAAAATTTTTATTTTAGAATCAGCTTAATGAATATTAGGGGAAATGTGGGAATGAAACTATACGACTCTAGCAGAAATGTTATCAGGAGCTATGTATATTTGAAAACTAAGATTTAAGTCTTAAGGTACTTAGGGGTAAGATAAGGTTAAATAAATTGAGATAATTTGAATAACAGAATATGGGGAAAGATGGAAAGGATTTGTTGAGTTAATTATTAGGTTAAATTGTTAAGATAAATTTTATAACAAAAATTGAGAAAGATGGAAAGAATTTGCTGAAATAATTATTAAACTAGAATACAAAAAGGGAGGTGTGAGGAGGTCAATGAAACAAGCAAATGGAAATTATGGATATGCAATTTGGGATTTGTGTTTTTTTTTCTTCTTTTTTCTTCTTTTTTATATTTTGTGCTTTTCTCTCTCTCTTTTTTTTGTATTGTAGTGTTGTTGTTTTTTATTTTTTATTTGTTTGTAATCCTGAAATTATCAATAAATATTATTTTTTAAAAAATGACTTAAGCACCTCCTCCTGACAGAAACTGCAATCTTACCAACTGGAACCAGGTGTGTTGGGGGGAGAGGAGGAGGAAGGTGCTGCACAGAGATCTCTAAATCATTCCATACTGAGTCGCAGACTGAAAAGCTCTGTCGCCCCACCACAACAGGGACTGAAAGGGATGGGGCGCCATTGTTTCTCCCCATCGTGAATCTTGCTCACTTTCCAGATATATCCTTGCCCAGATTTTCCCATTCCAAGCACTGGACGTAATGCAAATCTGCCGGCCTGAATCATCCGAAGGCACAAAAGGCAAATCAGTGCATTTCCCCAGTGAAAGCTCCCTTCCTTGTGAGGGAGAATAAAATAATAATGCCCTCTGGGTTATTTAGCAACAATAGCCTGCCAAGGGTTTTTTAATTTTATCTCCAGGGCTCATGGCAGGCTGCAGAGTCATGAAAGGTCGTACCTCAATGGAATTCATTTTTATTTGAATTGGGGACTGAATGCTCCAAGCATGATGAGCAAGAAGACTTATTTAAAAACCAAGGAATGATTCAGAGCAGGGGGCGGTGAATCCTGAGACCCAAATGAATGGTTCAGAATGACGAGAACAATTCTATATTTCCATATATTGTATTGCTCTTCTGAATTCACAGCTGCCTGAAGAAATTATTTGACAAAGATTCTCACTCTGCAAAACACCAGGACCCCAATCCAAAAGGAGGAAAGGTTCTAGATGTACAGACGTGCCTTAGATCCCAAACGCCTTGGTACTTGGACGTTTTGGCTCCCAAATGGCGGAAGTGAATGTTCCTGTGTGCAAACATTTTTTGGAACCCGAATGTCCGACGGGGCTTCCGCGGCTTCCGATTGGCTGCAGGAGCTTCCTGCAGCCAATCAGAAGCCATGCTTTGGTTTTTGAACGTTTTGGAAGTTGAACAGACATCCGGGATGGATTCCATTCAACTTCCAAGGTACCACTGTACATTGGCTTTGCAATGCCCATTTAATGGTTCATTTAAAGACCTTCTTGTTTGCACTATACAATCGTACATCATCATCATCATTATTGTTACTAATAATACTACTACTGCTGTTACTATTAATTTAGGATTCGCTTCCTATGAGGCATCTAGAATATAGAATCATAGATTTGTAGAGTTGGAAGGGACACAAGGGTCATTTAGTCCAACCCGCTGCAATGCAGGAATCTCAGCTAAAGCATCCATGACAGAAGACCATCCCACTTCTGCTTAAAAACCTCTAAGGAAGGAGAAGAGCATACATCATACAGTTGCATAGGTAAAAACAGACAATTGACAATATAAATACAATTTAGAAACAAAGAAATACAGCTGGGTATGCAAAATCAATTTGAAATCCAATACAGATAGCAGCTGAGAAAGCAATTTCCACTTAGAAGGCTTGTTGAAAGAGGAAAAGTCTTCAACAAGCACCTAATGGACAAGACTGATGATCTTGGTCTGATATGTGATAGGAGAAAGTTCTGAAGAGGAGGTGCTGCCACACTTAAAGCCTGATTCAGACACTGTGCAGAACAAACTTCCTGGTGTAAGACATGCATTGTATATGTTGTTGTTTAGTCATTTTGTCCTGTCTGACTCTTCATGACCCCATGGACCAGAGTACGCCAGGCACTCCTGTCTTCCACTGCCTCCCACAGTTTGGTCAAACTCATGTTAGTTGTTTCAAGAACACTGTCCAACCATCTCGTCCTCTGTCATCCCCTTCTCCTTGTGCCCTCAATCTTTCCCAACATCAGGGTCTTTTCCAGGGAGTCTTCTCTTCTCATGAGGTGGCCAAAGTCTTGGAGCCTCAGCTTCAGGATCTGTCCTTCCAGTGAGCACTCAGGGCTGATTTCCTTCAGAATGGAGAGGTCTGGTCTTCTTGCAGTCCATGGGACTCTCAAGAGTCTCCTCCAGCACCATAATTCAAAAGCATCAATGGACTCCACCTCAAGAGCCCATCCCTGCCCTCCTCCATATGTCATGGACTTCCATCAGTCCCAGCCACCATGCTGCCAGAGACATCTGTCCAGGGCCAGATTTAGATGTGATGAGGCCCTAAGCTACTGAATATAATGGGGCCCTTTATATGTCCAGCTGTCCTTTGTCAACAACATATTGTTGCTGTGAGATATATATATATATATATATATATATATATATATATATATATATATATGGTAATTTATGGACCTAATAGGTATCTAAAGCCATTTGCAAATAATAAAATATGTATTTTATCAAAGCAATTGTTGAACAAATACAATTAAGAAGAAGTATATTACAGTCATACCTTGTGTTGCTTTCCACTCTTGTTACGGACTTTCAGCTTACAAATGCGGCAACCCAGAAGTGTTTACTTCCGGGTTTGCCACCCACATATGTGCAGAAGCGATCTGCGCACTTTGTGCATGTGCAGAAGTGCTCAATCACACTGCGCACATGGGCAGAAGAGGCACTCTAATTGTGGACTTTTCGGGTTGCAAACGGCACCCTGAAACGGATTAAGTCCGCAACTAGAGGTACCACTGTAATAGTGAAATACAATTAAGAAAAAGTACAGTGGTACCTAGGGTTACAAGCACCTTAGGTTACAAACACCTTGGGTTACAGACTCCGCTAACCTGGAAGTAGTACTTCGGGTAAAGAACTTTACCTCAGGATGAGAACAGAAATCGCGCGCCAGCAGCGTGGCAGCAGTGGGAGGCCCCATTAGCTAAAGTGGTACCTCAGGTTAAGAACGGTTTCAGGTTAAGAACAGACCTCTGGAATGAATTAAGTTCGTAACCAGAAGTACCACTGTATATAAATAGTGATAGTGATATTTTAGGGAGCAGGCTTACATTACTTACATCATAGGAACTTACACAATACCAAACACTATTGCTGTATGTAGGTTTTATTTTGTTTGTTTTTTATCTTATATTTTGGAAATGTACATCCAGGTGTTTTTTTCCTTTAAAATTTTTTGGGGCCCCAAGAGAGTGGGGCCCTAAGCTATAGCTTGTTTAGCTTATACATAAATCTGGGACTGTATCCGCCTCACCCTGTCTAGTGGCAGGGCTGCCCCACTGTGTGTTCCCACAAAGGCACTCACACGAATCAGGATGAAAGCGAAGCGTTTCTTTCCTAAGTGTGCTCATTTCTCAGGCGGCCATTCAGCATCTCTTGACAGAACATTCCACCGCTGTAATTCTGTCCCCCTCCAGAACGTGGAACACCAGGAGAATCCGAAGTCAATAAGAATATTTAATAAACACAAGCAGTCCAGGAAGAGTGCGACTGAATTATTGCCAGCTTGTTATCCTTAAGGGCCCTATTCCATTCAATTTGATCCCCTTAAAAACTAATTTTCTTTTATTTCATTTGAGCAACTGCCCTTCCCCGCCATTTCGCAGCAATCACCTCTCTGGTGAAGAGATGAGGGGAAGCTCTGTCAGATGGGGGAGAAAGAAAGAGAAGAGAGAAGAGAAGAGAAGAGAAGAGAAGAGAAGAGAAGAGAAGAGAAGAGAGGAGAGGAGGAGGAGGAGGAGGAGGAGGAGGAGGAGGAGGAGAAGGAGAAGGAGAAGAAGAAGAAGAAGAAGAAGAAGAAGAAGAAGAAGAAGAAGAAGAAGAAGAAGTCGTCAACAATGGGAAATTGCATTGTTGAAACAAGAGTCAAACCATATGAAAGAGTGGAAATAGGAAGTCTCTTGGCTGGAGATCCTTGCCTGATATGTTTTGTGGGGTTTTTTTTTTGTGTATGTCTTTAAAAACTAGTAAAGATTGAATTTAAAAAAAATTGCTTTATGATACCAAGATTGAACGAATTTTAAAAGGAACGTGCTGGAGACACAAAGCAATGACTTTACATCAGTGTTTCCCAAACTTTAGTCTCCAGCCATTTTTTGGACTACAATTCCCACCATCCCTGACAACTGGTTCTGCTAGCTGGGGATGGTGGGAATTGTAGTCGAAAATCAACTGGAGACCCAAGTTTGGGAAACCCTGCTTTACATCAATCCTTTTAATAGTGAACTCAGCTGGTCAGTGCCACTAGGACTGCTGCCAAAATAGGGAAACAGAGAAATAAGAGGGTGCGGGCAGTATACTTGGGGTGACCCCAGTAGAGAATGGTGCCCATTGGGACTGGTGGAGCAGAAGGCAAGTAGCACAAGAGTAGACAGACTCAAAGCCAATGACAGCCAGGGCCTGCTGACTCTAGCTTTGTCCTCATCCTCTTCCCTTCTGGGTTCTTCAAGGGAAATAAGGAGGAGGAAGTTGACAGGCACTTTCACCCCCTGAGCTGGCTGTAAGTAAGAAGGCAATCAGTCAGGTGGGAGCTGGCCGAAGGCAGACTTCGGTTGGTGAGGCATTGCTTCATTTGCGTTTATGGAGCAGCCTTCACTGTCCCCGTGAGTTTTGCTGCTGCGCCCTCACGGGAACCAGCTGACTTGCGAGAGCACTGCACCACTACAAGTGCAGAATCATGGGATGGTTTCTGTAATTCTGGAGATGTCCCTGGGAAATCAGGACACTTGAAGGATATGGCTTTCTAATAATAAATGTCATGAGCTAAGCAGTCATTTCATGTTTGGCAGTGCCCCTACAACGCAACTCCTGGGCCTGCCTTGAATTAATGGAGTTCAGCGAGAGGGCAGAAAATCCCCGATCACTTTTAATTGTTTGTGCTGGAACTCTCCAAAGGAGGTCAGGGAACCAAGGTACTCGGGCTTTGCTCAGACGAGATGCAGAATGACTGCTAATTTGCGAGGTCCTACAGAGACAGATTATAGCTGCTTGCATCGTAACTGGGAAATCAAAAGCTAGAGGGAGGACAGAGGAGAACAAGCTCCTTCGCTCTACCACGCTCCAAGGATCCTTGTGGTGTTCTGCACGACAATCTATAGAAGGTATTAGCCTCACCTAATCCAGCTCCCATAATTCTTTGGGGGAAGCCATGACTATTTAAAGTGGTATCATAATGTTTTTCATGTATGGTGTGAATGTGGCCTACACAGTGAATAATTCAACTAAGGAGCTCACGTCCACAGGAGGCATTGATGTCCACCATTGTGGATGGCTTTAAAATAGAAAAATTTGTGGAGGAGAGGACTACTACCCATGAGGGGTATCCACTGCCTCTGAATACCAGCTGAATACCAGTTTCTGGAGGCCATAGGAAGGCTGAGTGCTCTTGTGTTCAAATCCTGCTTGCTGATTTTCCACAGTCATCTGTTTGGCTGTTGTGAGAACATGATGCTGGCCTAGATGGTCCCTTGACCTGTTTCAGCGGGCTCTTCTTATGTTCTTATGAAACTTGGTCACCTATGGTAGCAGCAACAGCTGCCTCCTAATTGTTGACAATCCTGTCCATCATGGAATCTGCTGCTTTGATAAAAGTACTCTCCTACTGTGGCAGATGGGAGGAGTTTCTGTTGTCCCTGGATCATGTGCAGAGGAGGGCAACCAAGATGATCAAAGGCCTGGAAACCAACCTTATGAGGAGCGGTTGAAGAAGTTGGGTATGTTTAACCTGGAAAAGAGGAGACCGAGAGGAGATGGGATAGCCATCTTCAAATATCTTAAGGGCTGTCACATGGAAGAGGGAACAAGATAAGTTTCCGCTGCTCCGGAGGGTAGGACTCGAACCAATGGCTTCAACTTACAAGAAAGCAGATTCTGACTCAACATCAAGAAGAACTTTCTGACAGTGAGAGCTATTCGTTAGTAGAACAGAATTCCCTTGGAAGGTTGTGGACTCTCCTTCCTTAGAGGTTTTTAAGCAGTGGTTGGATGGCCATCTGTCATGGGTGCTTTAGCTGAGATTCTAACGTTGCAGGAGTTTGGACTAGATGACCCTCGGGTCCTTTCCAACTCTACAATTCTATTATTCCATGATTCAGTGAAGCCTTCAGAGTCCAAGGGTGGCAACGCCGCAACCTGTGGCCAGAGGGACATGGACCACACACACCCCAGGTTTGTGGGAAGCAGGGACTTTTGTCTTAGGCTGCTGGCCTTCTGGTTCAGAGTCCTCAGCATCATCACCTGAATAGAAGTTGACTCCTGGTCCCTGACGTTCCCCACTGCTAAGGGGTAGCACAGCAGAATCAGGAGGCCGCAGAAGAGAGGAAGTTTTTTATTTAAAAAAAGCACATTCCTTTGTGTTCCAGAAAATAATGGAATTGCCTTATTCTGCCCACAAAAGCCAGTCTAAGTAGCACTTCTGCCTCAGAAATGAAAGCCCAAGCCCACCTTTGAAAAGGTGACCTACATTTGCAAATGCAAAAGGCGGCAAAAAAAATAGCAGGAATCTAGAATGGCAGAGACGGAGGAACGGAAGCTGTTGTTTTCACCGCAATGCTTGTGCCAAGTAATCGCTTTGATAGGAATCCTTTTTCATCTCTCCCGTTCCCTCCTCTCACTGCTGTCGCTCGCCATCCTGTTTTAAAAGTCAAAAGAATAAAGGCAGAAATTTTGAGGTTTGACTTATTAAAAGCTCTTAGACTTATATATATATATAAAAGCATTTCAGGAAAACTCATTCTGAGATAAAAGTCTATCATCAGAGAATGAGAATTACAGCAGACTTAATCGATTCTGATATAATCAGATTTCTTTTTAGCTCTTTCCACCCCTCCCCCATCCTGCTAGGCTTCTTTTCTTTTCTTCTTTTCTTTTCTTTATTTAAAAAAAAAACATTTTTCTATGCCAGCAGCATAAGGTATATTGTGCTGAATGCAATGGCAAATGAGAAACTTTATCTTCTAACCTTCCTTTGTCTATAAGCCTCCGAAGGGAACCAGAGGTCATCAGCAATGGCCGATGGCTGAAAAAATTGTTCCCAGATGAGCAGGATATTACACACACACACACACACACAATTTCAATTACATCAGTGTGGGAATTGTGAATGTAAAAAAACTAGGGGAGTCGGGGAGGGATGTTGGATCGTAAAGTGCTGTTTTGCAAACCATGATTTAGCCCTGCACAAGTAGGAAAAATAAATGGTTTTCCTGGAGTAACAGACAGTCTGACAGTTTTATATTAGATGGGGAGATGAAGCTGTCTCTGCAGAAGATATTGGCTAAGAGCAACCCAAAATGTCAGCAAATCTACGTATCTCTTTACTGCAGGAGAAATGTCTATGCGTGTGTACTGCAAACATACATATGCATAATCTGCTAAACGGGGGAAAAACCACATCCCATTTGTAGGAGCAGAACCCGGAGATTTCTTCTTGCCTCCAGAAATAATGCAGAAGGAAGAAACAGCATCCTCCATTCACACCTGGATACAGGCACTCCTTTGCCTGGCATGCATTAGACCCCAAAGACAACAAGAGGAAATCAAAGCGGACCATTCTAGTGCATAAGTACTGCATCACAGACTTGCACTGGCATTCCAGCAAGAAAATCCACGTCTGTGGAGAGCTGACAATTCAGACATTTGCTTTCTGGTTCCAAGCAAGCCCACTTTTTGACAGCAGATTTCATTTTCAGCATTCAAGAGGAAAGCTTAGCAAAAACCCAGCCTCGCAATTATTATTTTTGTGTGTGCTGATCTTCCCATTAAAAGGAATTCAGCTGCCAGAGTCCCTGGGTACATCAGCGTACATGCTGGATATTTGCCTGGCCACTGTTAGAGAGAAAACGCTGGATTAAATGGGTCCTTGGTCTAATCCAACAAGGCAATTCTTATGCCCTTATCATGTGCAGTCAGAAGGGGACAGGCCATAATGCCTGTTCATATATAACTGAAGTGTCACAGCAGCTGTTTCCACATGGCTGGGTCCTACACTGCTGGGGTGCGATCTGTAGAAAGGAGCTGCATGGGTCAGGTAATTGACGTGGTTACTTCTGACACCAAGGTTCCCACTGGGAGTCAGTGACAGTAATATGCGAACGAACCTTCATTTACTCATAGTTATCACCTAACCAGGGAATTGGGCAAAAACATGTCAGGTGAGGTTGACTGTATGTGCAAAGTGATGCCTAATGGTTCAAACAAGTCCAACTTCACCCAAGTAAGAATTATTTCTATACAGTGGTACCTTGGGTTAAGTACTTAATTCGTTCCGGAGGTCTGTTCTTAACCTGAAACTGTTCTTAACCTGAAGCACCACTTTAGTTAATGGGGCCTGCTGCTGCCGCTGCACCACCGGAGCATGATTTCTGTTCTCATCCTGAAGCAAAGTTCTTAACCCGAGGTACTATTTCTGGGTTAGTGGAGTCTGTAACCTGAAGCGTATGTAACCTGAAGTGTATGTAACCCGAGGTACCACTGTATTTCCATCAGTATATTTATATTAGTACAGGTGCATAGATGGAAACATACTGTTATGAGTTTGTGGACACTAGACACTTCTAAATTCCGAGACCCCAGTAAGTGCTAGAATTTAATCAAGCCTCCTGAACCCCTGGATCCAGCAAGGGTTGGAATATAAGGCTGGCCAGCTTCCTTAGGAGGTAATCGCCTGGGAGATGAGCCATTAAGAAAACAAAGGAAAGGTAATGAGCCCATTAAAGAAACCAAGGAAATGGGTTCTTTGTTGGACGGGAAATGGGTTGGACCCCTCCTCTAGTTCTAAGATAGTGAAACTAGCTAAAGCCAGAGTTCAGAGTTGAGAGTTGATTGTGATGTGACCTAGAGGAATAAAGGTTGCAGGCTGTTAAAGGCAGCAAGCTGGGGAGAGGGTCAGGGCACGATGAGTGATGACTGTTTGAAACCAAGGCCTATGGGAGAAGCAATACCCTTTTGGGGTATTGATGCTGTGAATACCTCCACCATAGGCTCAGATTACATATACGTGTAAATAAACTATATATTATAAACACGCCACAGTAGACCAAACCAAACACTGGGCTATAAGGTCAGAAATCAAAGCCCTCATCAATTAGATCATTTTGTTTTCAAACATTCTACCTGGAAGGAACTTTCCCCACATTGACTGATTGTGCAATCCTGTGCAATTCCCACTGTAATCAGCAATGTGTACACAGGATTGCAGACTCTGACTATACAGTAATCCTACACTTAATCTCCTAGTGGTGCAGCCATACAACTGTTTGCACATTTGCAAAGCTAAGCAGGGTCCAGTATGGTTTCAAATTGGATGAGGAAACTACATAGTGAGATTCCTGCATTGCAGGGAGTTGGACTAGATGATCCTCGGGGTTCTTTCCAACTCTACAATTCTCTGATTCTCTGATTCTAAGAGAACCTGGAAAAGACATGCATTGGGGTTGCACTGCTAATTGCGGAGGAACATGAATTGCATAGGATTCTGGGGTGCACATTATGTCTGTTGGGTCAGCATATTTCCAGCTGAGAGTTCAGCCCAGAAAAAAAGTGTAACAACATGTTATTCTTTGAAGGAGAACTTACTTGAAAATGATTTACAGATGGTATTTAACTCCAAGTAGGCTTGCTAAGATGTAAAAGATTGAATCTGATAAGTGCTGGAGATGCAAAGAGGTTGAGGGAGCATTTTTTTCATATGTGGTGGACTTGTAAAAGGATATTGGGAAATGATCCATAATGAATTGGAAAAAAAAGTTTAAAAGTACTTTCCAAAAAAACCCAGAGTCCTTTCTGTTGGGGATAATCCAGACTGAAATTTCCAGGTGTCAAAAAAGGCTGTTTATGTATTTTCAGTATTCGGTTGGAAGCTGCCCAGAGTGGCTGAGGAAAACCAGCCAGAGGGTGGGGTATAAATAAATTATTATTATTATTATTATTATTATTGTTGTTGTTGTTGTTGTTGTTGTTGTCGTCGTCGTCATCATCATCATCATCATTATTCTATTACTGTGCCCTGTGTTTTGTTAGCCCAAAAATGGAAAACAAGCAAGGTCTCAACCAAAGAAAAATGGTAACTCAAGCTGACAGAATATGTGCAGCTTGCAGACTTAACATATAGAATAAAAGAACAAGAAGAACATACGTTTAAAGAAGATTGGAGAGCGTTTATCGAATATATGGGAAATAACTGTGTACAGCTGAAAATTCTCGCAGCATTAAGATAAATTCAACAGTGTGAATAAGTTTTGATGGATGCAATAATGGAATACTGAATGGTACAGTTTCTGTAAAATATGCAGGGATTTAAGATATGTAAAATGAACCATGGAAAGAGAAGAAGGGAAGTCATTGATATTTTAAGGATGTAAAAATGAGTGCTTTAAATTGTAAAACAGAAATTATATTACAAAAGAAAAGGGGGGGAAGTGTTGTAATGGTTATGGCAGATCAATTCCAGGGTTCCAGAATAACCTGGGCTGTTCCTAGACCAGTTCATTGCATGACTTGCAGGAAGCAAACAGGAGAAATTGGAATTCTGGAGGGAAGAATGGCTGCCTGTATGTAGCTATGAGCAAGGAAGGAAATCTAAAACAAATGTGTTCATCCAATAAGCATAGCCTGAATCCAGGTTCTTATTTGCAAGAGTTCCAGGCCTCTGAATACTTGGGTGTTATTCCCCTGAAGGGATGGCAGGGGCAGGCTGGGATAGCAGTACAGTGGTGCCTCGGGTTAAGAACTTAATTCGTTCTGGAGTTCCGTTCTTAACCTGAAACTGTTCTTAACCTGAAGCACCACTTTAGCTAATGGGGCCTCCTGCTGCCGCCACACGATTTTCGAGGTAAAGTTCTTAACCCGAGGTACTATTTCCGGGTTAGTGGAGTCTGTAACCTGAAGCA